GTATCCACGATCGCCCATTCTATACCAGGTAAACCAAAGCCGCTTGAGTTTTGTTGCCGTCGCTTTAACGTTGGTCTGCAGTCGCTTTTCCGGTCGCGCGACCGAATCAACGATCGCCTCATGATCGGAAAACGCTGCTTCTCCCACGGAAAAATCGAGAATAACGTTTCCCTGTAACTTTCCCATGCTCACCACACGTACGCACACACAATTCGGATGAGACCTCTATTAATGGTCAAAATTTTAGATAAATTACTATGCAGTTTACCTATTACAGAGTGCACGTGTTAGAACGTGATAGAATGAACTGTGTAGGATACATTTCTTTTTCAGCAAATTGAAATGATGATTTTTTGGCTATGTTTGAATCACGATATAATTATATTGAATAAAAACTTAGTTATTGGGGTTAGCATGGGTTAGTGGTAAGAGTTTGTTGCAGCGATGGGTAATAAAATGTGAGTGACTAGAATCCTCTTTTTTAACTCACAACTATAATTTTAATATAGATGAAAATAGAAGAAGAGAAAGAAAAATTGGGGTTATATTTAATATCCATTATTAAAATCAATCAATATTGATGTAATCGGTCCTAGTTATATCAATAATCATGATTATATTTTCTCCGCTTATTATTAATATTAATATTATTATTAATATTAATGTATATATTAATAAGATATAAATTTTTAAATAACATAAATTATATAAGAGAAACATTTTTCAAAGAACTACAGATATGTGTTTCATTGATGAAGGAAATTTAAGTGAAACGAAAAGGTCTTAAGCTTTTCATAAATTCTGTTAACCATTGATTCATATATAAATTTTAGGCCATTTTATATAATTAAATTAAGTCTCTTATGAGAGAAAGTTCCTTATCATATATAATTCTCATGTGTGTATCTTTTTCTGTACAGGGAGTGACCCAAGCAAAATGGCACAGAAGCGAAGTGCTGCCCACATAGGGTAAGTTATCAAAGCATGTATGCTTAATTCTTGCATCGAAATGATTTTTATATCAAGCATAATTTATACATTTAGATTTCATAAATATATCAATGTATGATATCTTAATATTGCTCACACATATGTAAATTGTGAAAACTTTGACATTCTGAACTAATAACATAAGCTTATTATGAATAAAAATTTGATGACGTATAAAAGGCGTTAAATAAAAATTTTAAATGGGTCTACTTTTCTCTACACGTGAGAAAATTAGCTCATAATATATAATTATTATTTTCATCTATATATTAATAAAAATATCCATATAAATTTTTTATATAAAATATATCGCGTAAACGCTATATGTATATTGTCATGAATATCAAGTCTTCAGATATCAAAGAGAGCGAAAAAAAGATCGCTCGGGAAGGCATTTGGTGACGAAAATAGCCGCTTCGGTGTTAACGATCGAAGTGAAATTTCGCCATGCAGTTGACATGCACGGCGAACTTGGTGTCGCGCTTGATTGACGCAGTTCCGAGAAATGATGCAGCGGCGGGATCAGTTACGGCGTTCGCCACACATACATATATAACAACGGTAGGCAATTCTCCGCGCTACCCCGGCTTTACAATACTGTTGCTCGGTTAATATACGTCCGCGGCGAGAGCAGCCGCGTTGCGACATCGCTCAAGAAAACGTTTCGTTATCGCGTAAGCGCCCGCCGTTACTTTTACTCGGCGGCACACACACACACGGGTCTCTCTTTCTCGAAAATGCTTTTCTGCCGCGCAGCTTCGGCACGCGAAGCAGGCGCAAATGTCAACCGCGCACATTGTGTTAACACGCTCTCGCGCGCGACCCCCTTTATAGCGTGAAAATTTCCGATTTATCGGGCCCAGCCGGGCACGATTCTCTTTCAGCGCGATAATCGCTCTGCATTCTATTACCACTTACACATATTTATTTTTTAATATTCATTTATTTTTCTTCATTTTATTGTATCGCTTATAATCGCGTATACATAGAAGCTTTCTAAGAGTTTATAAATAAATGAGGAATTTAGAAATAATTAAAGAATAATATATTATTGTGGGCCGTGTAAAAGCGTGTTAAAAGATTTTAAAAAACGCTTTATAGAAGACAAATATATACCGGACGCTTATAACTGTTTTTCCTGCATCGAATTTAGAACACAGTCGTTTGGAATATTAAGAAGTGATTCTGGTTCTCAATTGTGTCTTCCTATTCATAAAGAGACTAAGCGCGATGTATATAAGCGCGAATATATATTACTTTAATATATGTATATTAGTATTTTATATAGATAAATATGAAAAATTAGAAGATTTTTCATTTATAAGGCAAAAATCTCTTTTTCGATTTAAATAAAAAACCAAACTTTTTAAAAGAGAGAGAGAGAAAGAATGAGAGAAGAATCAAGAGTGCAAAACAGAATTTTCTCTTTTGAATGAAAAAGGAAGTCCCTTAAAAACCGAAGGGTTCTCCGTCCCCGATCTTGTCCCCCGTCGCGAGCGAGCGAGCGGTGCAATGCATCCCGGTTAAAAGTCGTGCTTCGCAACGGTGGCTGTCCCGGGCTCTCTGGTGGGAGAAGTGATAGTCCTCACCGGGGTATACCGCAGCAGAGCACATTATGCGGCTATGGTGGAATCAGTCACTGGCGAGTTGTGGGTGGTGGCTAGTCGGCGACCCATCCATCCGTCCGTCTGTCCGTCCATCCCGTCCGTCCACACGTACATACATACGTCCGTGAAACGTGCTTCCGCGTCAATCCGCGTCGCCAGCGTCGACAATCTTCATCGATTGTGATCGAGACCGCGTCGCCGACGATCACGCGTCATTATCCGCGAGTACGTCGCGACGAGGATTTTGGCGCCGAAAATTGGACCGCCCGGACTGCTTCCGCAACGCATGTGTCGTCGAGTGATCTCTCGTTCTCAGTGAATTAAACACATTGACGATCTTCGAGGATAACAATCGAACAGTCGGAGAATTTTAATAAATATAGCTGAAGAAATAGTCGAAGATCGAGTCGATTTTCTTAGACGGGTATCAATATGTCAATTATATTGATATCAGAAATTAAATCTGTGGAGCTTGCCGCGCTAAAAAAATACAAAAATTTTTATCGAATAATTTGATTTTTGTAATCAATTTTATATCAGACATTTTTTATGATTCATAAAAAACGGAGAGCTTCAACTATATATATACCACCATAGCGAAGATTTTAGTAGCTATTTTTTTAAGGAAAAATTAGTTTTCATGGATTTTGTCGTCGGACACTGAACTTTAGACCAACAAGAAAGACACGTGTTCCTAGTGTGATTTTATTATAATTCGATAAATTCGCCGTTGAAGATATTTTCAGAGGGAAGAAATTTCTTTCTTCGCGGTAATATCGCGCTGGAGAATATTGCGGCGCGGTTTTGCACGCGGGACCTCGACATATCCGTGATTTGCGTGCGTTTCTCGTTACGCGAGCTCAGCCGAGTTGATTTAGAACGAACGACGAGTTCATTTCACGGTGGAAGAAACGTAACACGAACTTTCGACGTCTACTGTAAACTAGACGTTTCGAAGATCGAATAATCGTTGTTATCGATGATCATGTGATTTTCAATGTGACAAAGATTCGTGCGATTGGGGTATTCTCTTGATTGATAATCAACTAAAACTTTATTCTAAAGGCGCAAAATATGACGATTTTAGGGAAGCAGATTAATAAAATATTTCCGAATAAAAACTCGCAGACGAATCCTATAAAATTACAGAACTTGAAGACTTGAAGACCTATCTTCGATTACGCAGAACATTACTTCGTAATCATTTCGTTTAAAATAGAGTGGGTAATTCGTTTCACTTAACACGCCGTGCGCTCGATCAAACGACTTTGCATCGAGTTTTTCAGGATATAAGTGATCGCGACGCTTCAGCGATGGCCGTCGCTTTGACGAAACGAAGCGAAGAAAAGATCAGCGCGATTTTCCTGTTGATTATGCGCGATAGTGCGATGAAAGGAGCGTGCAAAATTCGGCGTGATTGTGACGGCGGTCCGACGAGGATCTCGTGACATTTTCGCGGAGACTTATAACCCGAGACTCTTT